GAGATTTGATCCCAAATTACCGCTACAAGATTATCGTCTTCGTACTGTAACTTACGGTATGAACTGCTCGCCCTTTCTTGCGCTCAGAACACTTGAACAATTAGTTAAAGATGAAGGTGGTACTTTTCCGCTCGCTTCACTCGCACTCAGTTCCACCTGCTATATTGACGACTTCGTGATGTCTATTCCTACCTTTGAAAAGGCTCACCAACTCAAAACTGAAATTATTACCTTATTACGAAGAAGGGGGCTTCGAACTTCGAAAGTGGTCTAGCAATGACCTTTCTTTGCTCTCTGATTTGCCTCCCTCTTATTTGTCCAACGAACCGCACACGTTTTCTGAAGATATCGATTCTTGTCTGAAAATTTTGGGATTGCGTTGGAATCCTTCTGCTGATTGTTTTTCTTTCATTGTCTCTGCAATTCCAAATCGTCCTTGTACTAAACGAACAATTTTATCCGAATTAGCTCGCATATATGATCCCCTAGGATTCATTTCTCCAGTTACATTTTTTTGCAAACATCTCATTCAACAGCTATGGTTGTCCGGTATTGGTTGGGATGATATTCCCAATAATGAAATTATTCGTATCTGGAATCAGTATCAAACTGATCTACCCGTTTTATCCAGTCTCAAAATTCCGCGATGTTCACAAACTCCCAAGCAATCGCTTATGAAATTCACGGATTTAGCGATGCATCTGAGAAAGGATATGCTTGTGTTATTTATCTGCGTTCTTTTGATGCCAATGGACTGAATCATGTTAGCTTCGTATGTGGAAAGTCCAAAGTTGCACCAACTAAGAAAATTACTATTCCGCGTTTGGAGTTATGTGCAGCCGTTTTATTAACGAAGCTGATTTCATCAATCATTTATCTTATTACACCCCAATTAAATCTGAAACGTGTTTACTGTTGGTCCGACTCCCAAATAGTGTTATATTGGATTAAGGGTCATCCACACCGTTGGAAGACATTTGTATCAAATCGTGTGACATTCATCAGGGAGAAAGTCGCTCCTGAACATTGGTATTACGTAGATACCACCAATAATCCGGCGGATGCTGCTTCCAGAGGTTTGTTACCCCGTCAGATGATATCACATTCTATGTGGTTCACCGGTCCGCCTTTCCTTAAAAAACAAGATGAATGGCCTAATTCGCCTTCTCTGCCCCTTGCACCCCCGGTGGAGGAGGAAAAATCAATTCCAGTATTTTTAACCTCTAGTAATGACCATGTCATTGATATTTTATTAGAAACGCATTCTTGTTTCAGATCGCTACAAAATGTTCTAGTTTACTTGCTACGTTTTATCAACAATTCGAAAAAACCTTCTCAAAAATTCTTAGGCTCAATTTTGCCTTGCGAGCGCCACAACGCTCTTGTTAGACTTGTTCGACATGTCCAAAGTATCCATTTTTCTGTAGAAATCGAAAGTAAACGTTTTTCAAAACCTTTGAGAAAACTTCAAGTTTTTTTGGATTCTGAGGGAATTTTACGTGTTGGAGGTCGTCTGAAACATGCCTCCCTCTCCCATTCTGCCAAATATCCTATGTTGCTTCCACGTTCAAGTCGTTTGACTATACTTTTGATCAAATATTTTCATGAGAAGTTTTTTCATGCAGGTTTTCGCACGACTCATTTCCTTCTGTCGCAACAATTTTGGATTTTATCTCCAAAAAGAGCTATCAATTCAGTTCTCTCTCAATGTATTCCATGCTGGAAACAAAATCCTAAGACTTTTCAACCCCTCATGGGGAATTTGCCTATTTCTCGAGTTTCTCAAGTTAAACCATTTTCTCACTCAGGTGTCGATTATGGGGGACCCTTTTCGATAACTCTCAGTCGCCATCGTGGTGTGAAAACAATAAAAGCATATTTATGCATTTTTGTTTGTTTCGCTACCAAGGCGGTTCATCTTGAACTTGCCAGCGATCTTTCTACTGACAGTTTTTTAGCAGCTTTGCAAAGGTTTATTGCACGTCGTGGACGTGTATACCATATTTATAGCGACTGTGGCACAAATTTTTTAGGTGCCCAGCGTCAATTACTACATTTGCTCGAATCTTCAGCGTCTCACGAGAATATTGTTTTTCATCCTACTCCGACAAGTGCACCTCATTTCAACGGGTTATGCGAAGCCGGAGTTAAGAGCGTTAAATCACATTTGGCTCGTGTTATCGGCCAACAAATCCTCACCTACGAAGAATTTTATACCGTGTTAACATTAATTGAATCAATCTTGAATTCGCGACCCTTAACGCCCATGAATGTTGATGATCTCAACACTCTCACTCCCGGCCATTTTTCAACTATGGAACCTGTCTCCAATCTACCGCTGCCTGATTATTCTGATATACCCCTGAATCGTTTAACGAGGTGGCAACTATTACAATGCCTACATCGGGATTTCTGGCATAGGTGGCATAAAGAATGTTTACACACTTTGCAGCAAAGAGGTAAGTGGTTGGATGACGGTACTTCCCCTCGCATCGGTACTCTTGTACTTATCAAAACTGATAACCTTCCCCCATGCAAGTGGTCGCTCGGTCGTATCTCCAAATTGCATTTTGGTGATGATCAAGTCGCGAGGGTAGTAACAATTAAAACATCGCATGGTACCTTGAAGCGCCCCCTGGTCAAGTTGTGTCCACTTCCACTTGAATAGTACACGACTTCTCAACTTTTCTTTTTAGCATTTTTTGTTTTTATTTGATGTTTTGAATATTCATTATTAATTTTATTCAGTTATATATTAGAAAATGCCTTCTGCATTTTGCGGGCCAGTAAATGTTGCGGAACGGCTAACATACTAATTTTAATTTTCTTAATTTTGCCTCACCCTGTACCCTCAAAACGACTTCAATATGATTGCGCCCTCTGTGGTCTGTTGGAGCGATGAAAAGGAACGAACATTGTTGTTGTTGCATTGTTTTTCTATGTGGTTGATTGTCCACCATTCTCGACTGCCCAGTTCAACTGTGAATATTCGTTTTTTGCTGATAATATTTATGTTTATCACACCGCATAATATCGTGTTTCTTGATACACGGATTAGCTTCGATTCCAAGAACTGGTACCAATCTCAGGACTCTGATGAGACAGCCGCAATCCACTCGAAGTAAGTCGTCTTTGAGGGATTTACTTTAACATTTTGTTAAGTATCATAACGGTATACAGTCCCTACTGTTCCTATTATCGTTCCGTTACAATTTATGCCAACGGAGATTGGGAAAAAATAGGTTAGTTAACAATTGAATACCTTTTTGAAAAATGATGNAGCCGCAATCCACTCAAGGTAAGTCGTCTTTGAGGGATTTAATTTAACATTTTGTTAAGTATCATAACGGTATACAGTCCCTACTGTTCCTATTATCGTTCCGTTACATATGATGATGACACTTTTTTCTACGGGACTCGATTCATTCAAGTGTAAATAAGATACTATATTTTTTTCAAATTTTCAAACTGATATTTTATGTTACAAAAAAATTATTCCTTTTGATAAACTCTCTGTAGCGGCAACGCGCGCATGCCGTAACAGCTATGCGAAATCCTATTTTCAACGTCAAATCAAAATTATAGATAATGGATATAGAGTTTCGAGAGTCGGAACTTTTTTATCGAAAATGTCCTCCTCTTCAACGAGTTTTTTCAAAATTGCTCGAATATCAATAGTTTTTGAATTATTAACGAAAAACTAAATACCATTTTTTTATCTTATTTTGTTAATAACAATTGTAATTTTTCACCTGCACCAGAATCCTCCAAAAACATTTTTCTAGAGGTTAATCTGAATCGAATGAGCTATCGTTCATATTTTTAGGACTTCTATCTCTATTTTTCATGTTTTTCAACTTGTTGATTAGACTATCAGTTGATTAACTCAGTCGCACAAATATATAAACATTTAGAAAGAATTTACCATGCCTGTCGAAATTAAATAATCTTGGTATCAGAAGTCTGGCGGCAAGTGATATAATCAGAAACCACTACAGTTAAAGGGTACAAATGGTTGAAATAGACGGTGTACTGAGCGACCCATTAGAAATTGAAATAACAGGGCACTCTTTCAGGGCCAATTCTATTTATATTATATTTGAATGATATGTTATTCATTGATATTTCTGGAAAAATGGTCTCATATGCTGATGATACAGTACTAATAATTAATGAAGCATCCTGGGAAGACGTAATATCTCATACAAGAACGAAATTGACACTAGAATAAATTGGCTTGATGATAGTTTACTGACAGTAAATATTGATAAAACATGTTACATTTCATTTTGTAGTAACACTCATGGTTTTCCCATTGCACAAAGCATCAATATTCATTTAAGTAGCTGAAATAAGATCTTTGAAAAAATCCAGTTCAGAAAAATATCTTGGAATATACATTGACCATAATCTTGATTGGAAAATACATATAGAGTATCTTTGTAAAAGACTCAGAGCCCTTTTGTATGTTCTTCAAACACTTAAAAATATACCGAGTATCAATGATTTGCGCAGTATACATTTTTCGATAGTTCAGTCACTCTTAATGTATGGAAATCTAGGATGGGGTGAGGTATATGGTACAACTGTTCAACCGCTTATGGTACTACAAAAACGATTTCTCAAAATTATCTATAATTTAAATTTTCGTTTCCCATCGGCACAAATATTCCAATATTGTGATCTGATGAGTTTGAGGCATCTTTATTTTAAACAATTATTATTATTTATATTTCACGATAGAAATAAGTTCGAAAACCATCAACATGGATATGAAACCCGACTCAAAGCNTCAGCGACTGGAGAAATGTACAGCGGGGTCTCCCAGTCAAAAAATCAAAAATTCAAACTCTGCTCTACTTTGCCAAGCTTTCGCTTCTAATAGGAAGCTTTTTCAAGGCAGTGAAAATGAGTAAAAAACAATGAAATGAATATATACGAAAGAAAGTTAAACAATATCTAATGGATTTTTTTGGTTTGACGAATGTTATAAAACGAAGTTGAGAAACTAACATTTTAATTAAACTTATAAAGTACATCAGTTTATCAATTCCAAATTTGATAGATTGATTGAAACATATTTGTATAGATTTTTAACCAACGTCAAAAGTAGAATAGAATACGAAAACATACGATTGGATGTATACATTAATACAATAATGCAATTTTCAATTGATGAAAGGAAAATGATGAGTTTTTCCTTCATGTAAATTTTAGTCAACTACAATAGTCGATCGTTTCGACTACAATAATGTATGTTGACTGGCATCTGGACAATTCACAAAATTCGATGTCAACATACAATTTCGTGTACGTGTTATCCAATCTATGTACGACGACACTCTAACGTACACTCCTGGAACACCAGTAATTCCACATCCCTTTCCCCAATTCACAAGTCCAACAAGGCTAAATGGTGTGGTGGCCGAATCTCTGCAAACCAGGCCCGAACCTCCATCTTGCTACAGAAAATCCAAATTTGTAATAGAGCATCAATCATTGTGAATTTAGATATCATAAGTATTTCAGGTAGTACGATTGATTGATTTCAAGGTTGATGTGACGGCGAAAAGGGATAAAATAAAAGCAATAATTCATTTTATCATTCAATTGTTTTAGTCAAAAAAAGCGTCAGATTCAAACATCCACATAGATATAAATTAGTAAAATGACATGAAATTTTTCAAAAATAAAAAATTCTCTCATGGAAATATGTGTTTCAGAGCAGAAATGAAAAAAATATATATTTCTTCAATCGAGAAGTGTGTTGAAAAAATAAACGTATAATTTTGGAAACGTATTTGATATTTTCATGCACACAAGAAATGCAAATTATGGTCAAATTTGTTGTCATGCTCGACTAGCGCGCATCTTTCAGGATGGTGTCTACAATCACTTCCGTGAGAGGTTAAAGTTTTTGACGTTTGACCAACATAGTTTTTGTTGCACGATTGGCATGGAATACTATATACCACATTCGTTCGAGAAGTGAGGGGGGTTTATCTTTCACTCTGGTGTGTATCGTTCTAATTGTAAGAACTGCTTCTGTGGTTATTATAATATTCAGTAGTTCGTTGAATATTCAAGAGAATTTGGGAGTGAGCTCTTTAAGAAAGGGTAAAGTACTATAGAAAACCTGAGGTGGAGAAATATTATTTTCATTGTTGTTAATAATATTGGGGTTGACAACAACCCCAATTGAACCAATTATGATTATCAAATTGAGGCATTGATTTTGATTGATTGACTCAGATAGAGAGAAAAGCACGCTCAACGAAATATAGGGACTTCCGAACTTCAACAATTGATAACGGACATCTTGTTCATGTTGTTGAAGCTACATCTGTCAAATTAGTTGCCATTTATTCAGTCTGTTTTGCCAATTCATCATGGACATGTATATAGCATTGAAAACGTGCAAATAATAAACTCATTTTTTAAAAATGAGTGTTCTGCTCGAGCAACGTATCGCGTACTTCGCCCATTTCACGGTCGCCATAATCGTCTGACCGAGACGAGTATCCGCAATAAGGTGGATGGATTTGAGTCCACTGCTTTCGGCATCCGTACAAAATTCAAGTGATCCAGGAACTGAAGGTGAACGACCATAGATAACGGCGAGTGTTCGCTGAATGGGCAGTGAACAGTTGGCAACTAACCGTGATTTTCATCGAAAAGTCATCTTCAGTGATAAGGCACATATCTGGATGAATGGGCACGTGAACGAACAGAAATATTTGTTTTAGGGCGATACCAGAAGATCCAAAAGAGTCCAATACATTTCGAAAAAGTTGCTGTTTGGTGCGGATTTTGGGCTGGCGGCATCAACAGTCTATATTTATTTGAGAAAGACGTTGGCCTGGCGATCACTGTCAATGGCGAGCACTATAGGTTGATGATTACCAACTTCCTTTGGCCTGCATTTGATAATCTAGACATCAATAACATGTGGTTTCAACAGAATGTACCACACAGTTCATGCTACATTGGATATTCTGTACGAGCGATTTGAGGGCATGGTTACATCACGTGAAGATGATGTGAACTGGCCAACAAGATCGTGCCATTTGACTCCGTTAGACATCTTCTTGTGGGGTTCAGGTATATGTTAATGAACCACACCGGTCCTCAATGACAACAATAACCCATGCTATCGGTCTAATTCAACCTGATTTATACGCCAGAGTCATGGAAAATTGGACATTCCGGTTGCGCTTCACCCAAAGAAGCTGTGGCAGACATTTTAATGTTGTTATATTCCATACATAATGGCGTCAATAAGTTTTAAGAACGGATAAAAACTTTTGATGAAATCTGACACACATTTTGTTTTATCTAAATTAAAAGTATGAAGCGCCTAATGAGATAGCCTATATAAGTTGACGAAAAACCTAGCGAAAATTACAATAAATAATTTACGAAACGAAGGCTAACATTGGTTCGAATTCAAAATCAGTAGTATCCAAGTATGCATGAAGTCAAGAGACCTATAAGAGAGAAGAACAATAAAATGTTGAATATATACAACAAATCCAAAATTGAATATGCGAAGTATGCTACTCAGTTCCACATGATTGTCAGATGTTATATTTATGTATTCAGAAATATTTCCATTGAACTTACCGTACAAGAGTCTAAATTTGTCTGCCCACCAGCGCAAATCTCTTTATTGGCGTCTAGATATGTATCAGGTGTAACAAGTGTATTCATAATAGTTCTGCACGTTTCTGTACTGATAACAGGCACGTGGACCTGTTTTAGATAAGGAGTTGGTGCAGCTCCAGAGGTGAACGAAATTTGTCCAAAGCCTGTGACAAGACAATTGTCGGCACTAAAAAATAAAATTACTGTAGGGTTAAATGAATTTATGTTCGCTCTATAAATGATTTTCCTGATCTGTTTTTTTACATTAAGCATAATAATCACTATTACCTTTTCTCGTATTCCATCAACTGAGCATTTTTAAGTCTACCGAGATTACCATTCTGTTATCGGTTATTATTAATAAAACTGTTGATGAATATTCTCCACCGGTGAAGAAAGAAAGTTGGATTGACATTTTTTCATTTCACGCAATGTTTCAAAGGATAGGTTTTGTTATGTATGGGCTCTTGCAGCAGTGTTTAATGCTGTTATCGCTAGAACAATCTAGGTTGAAAGTCTGGGGTATGCGAAGAAGGATCCGATATTTTACGCTTGAATTAGCATACTGTTGGCCGTTCATCTATGGAATCAATATAGTAGTTCATTAAAATAATTAGGCTTAATCGTTTTTTATGGAATAAATAGTACGTATCTCATATGGAATAGTAGTTCACAAAGTTTGAGTCAATAAAATACCAGTTGCTATTAAGATTTTGAAGATGAATGAAGAATATTCATAGTACGAATCTCATAGGTGATAGTAGTTCACAAAGTTTAAGTCAATAAAATACCACTTGCTATTAAGATTTTCAAGATGAATGAAGAATATTCATTTTGAGTGAATTATTGAATGATCGATATGAAGTAATCGGTTGGAAATGTATAATTTTTATTGAAATTATTTGCTGATGAAATTGAATTACTGAATTTACCATATCGTGAAAATAACAAATTGAAACAAAATATTGCAATTTTGTGAAGCCATGACTAATCGCATAACCTTTAATCTAGAATGAATGATGATAATAATAATAGTACTGATAATAAAAAAATATATAATAATAATGATAAACAGGGATAAGCAGGGATGGCCACTAAAACCCTTGGCCTTTGGTGAGTTGCGACATCACTTACCCGAGCAACTTGTGCAAAACCGGACCGCCAGCCCAGGCGCACCCGGGAAGGAGAATTCTATTCTTCCTCCGGTGCCGGCCGTGGGTCCACAGGGCTAACCACACGGTGGACCCAACACTTGGTTCCCAATAATCAAGGAAGAGGCCCCCACAATCGACCCGCTCGGGGGGGTCAGAGGCAAGGTGGTGGGGCCCATAACGATGATTTGCCTACCGACGATAACCCTGGCAACAAAAACGGACGCTTTGAGTGGACGCATGAGCTGGGAGATAGCCTTATGTATTGCTACGAGAGTAGTGAGCCCGCGGGAAGAGGATACATGGCGAGATAGCATGCTCTGTGGTGTGAAACACACCAAAGAGCTGCTATATAGCCCTGCCTATCTTCGGCGGCAGGGCTATATAGCTCCTCCCCAGCCTGCTAACGAAATGGTAGAAGTGACAGTTCTACCACCCGTTGGCACGGCTGGAGAGGAGACTCGCATCATGCCACCAATGGAGTCAATCAGAACATGCAGGGCACTCCACAGGATTAGGCCCCTGAAGTCACAAGAACTGGCTTGTTTGGATGCGGAGGTTCATAGTGTTCTAACAGAAGAGGCTGACATCTGGCAAAAATCAACACCGCCGTGTATAACGTCTTCCAATCGCTTTCCGAATCGGAAGGACGAAATCCCGGCCTTGCGTTTCGGAAGATTGAACGGCGTGTATACAAAATGGAGGCTAAGATCACGTCGGCGAGACAACATGCGTCTCGTATCCAATGTGTGATGGACTACAGGGCGGCCAATAGACCCTTCACGCCCGCAGTGCGGCGAATAGCCGCCAATTTACGACGTATCCATCACACTTCAAGCCAAGGCGTGCTGCTGACCACCAAACAGCACTGCCTTGATAGAATACGAATGCTAGTGGCTGCTAAGTAGTTACTAGTGAGGCGAGCAAGAAGAATCGCGAAAAACCTCAGGTTCCGCGAGAAACCTTCTCGCTTATTCCAAGAGCCCCCACGTGTTGTGGATAATCCGCCGACCGCTGATCAGGTGGAATCCTTCTGGAAGGATATCTATGAACACCCGCAGCAACCCAACTCAGACACTCCTGCCCTAGCGCAGTTCGAAGCTTTCAACTGAGAGCTTCGACACCATGAGCTCAATGAACTGCGCATCCCGATAACACCGCATGACGTTCGAAGGGCCCTTGTTGGTTCCAAGAATTTTGCTGCTCCAGGCCCAGATGGGCTGAACACTAATTGGTGAAAACAACCAAGTACCCACCGCCATCTGGCCAGAGTTTTCAACTCATCGCTGGACGGAGAGCAGCCGATTCCGAATTGGTTCGTCAAGGGGTGGACCGTTCTTATCCCCAAAAGCGGAGATTTCTCGATTCCTAAGAATTACAGACCGACAACATGCTTGAATTCGTGTTATAAGTTGTTCACAAGCATCTTTCATACACGAATATTCACCGCAGTTGACCGAGTGTTTGAACGGAGAGGGTCGAAGAGAGGAGTCGCTGGATATAAAGAGAACCTGCTCATCGATAGATGTGTTACACTGGACTCTATACAATATAAGCGTAACCTCTCTATGGCCTGGATCTATTACCGTAAGGCATTTGATACAATTTCGCATGAGCTCAGATGCTTTCTGGTACCCGACAACATAGTGAGATGCATTGAACAACTGATACCACTTTTGCGCACTCGCTTCACTATAACATCTGGTCATGCAAGAGTCCAAACATGGTGGGTCACTTTCAGAAGGGGTGTATTTCAGGGTGATTCCCTCAGTCCCCTTCTCTTCTGCATCTCACTATTGCCATTATCCGTTGCGCTCAGAAATACTCGAGGGTATAACTGTGACACCCCCGGAAACCGGAGGCACAAGGTCACCCATCTGTTTTATATGGATGATCTTAAACTTTATGCCTCTGGAGAGAAGGATCTCCATCAGTCCTTGAGGGTGATGGAAGAGTACACGCATGCTATCGGTATGAAATTCGGGATAGACAAATGTGCAATGGTCCATCTCAAAAGAGGACGATGCGGGGACTACGGAGAGGATGTGCAGCTCGTAGATGGAAGCATCCTACACCATCTGGATGCCGGAGAGACTTACCTCGGGGTGGAACAACGCCACTCACAAGAGGTAACAGCAGTGAAAAACTCTCTCCGCGGCAAGTATCAGCACAAACTTTGACAGATCTGGTCATCGGAACTGTCGTGGAAGAACAAAGTTGCTGCAACAAATATGCTTGCCGTTCCAATCTTACTCTACTCGTTTGGAGTAGTGAAGTGGACTCGACAGGACCTGTATCAACTTGACGTAAAGACCCGAAAAATTATGCATCTCTTTAGGAGTTTGCATCCCAAATCGTCTATTCCACGGTTGTACTTCCCCCGACAACAGGGAGGCCGTGGACTTTTGAGTTTGGAGTGTCGACATGATAGAATGGTACTGGATACAGCCTGTAAAGTCGTCAGGAATTAGGATCCACTTCTCTGCATGGTCCGTGATCATGAGAGAGCAGAAATTGGAGCATTTCTCCTTAGGGCAGCTGCTCGAGCAGCTGATGAACTCGGTATAGTTTTCGACTCTGAACGAGGTGACCACAACCCTGTCACCAAGCTGGAACCAGATCAGCAAAGAGCTCAGATATAAGCCGCAGAGATCACCTCACTTCTGCGGAGACACAAGAATAAGCCAATGCATGGGGTCTTCTTCAATAACATTGGAGACCTTGGCTTATCAAAGCGCCTGACGTTCGCTTTTCTCGGCTGGAGTCGGAAACTGAGGGGTTCATCATGGCTTGCCAGGATTGTGTTTTCAACACCTTAGTCTACCGCAGTCGCATGATGGGTGTTCGCGTGTTCCTGACACAAGGTGCAGGGCCTGCCACGAGGCGCCCGAGACCCCAATGCACTTGCTATCAGCATGTCCAGCATATGCGGTCTCGGCCTATATCCATCGACATAACGCGGCCCTAAAAGTGCTATATTACCATCCACGGCACTCGGTATTGACGGTATTGACGTTGCCCTACGCTCCGGGAAATATTGAATATGTTGTGAGAAACGAGAAGTGCCGAATTTATTGGAACTATTCGTTCCCCACCCTCAGGCTCATACAAACTAATAAGCCTGATGTAGTCCTTCTCAACCACCAGCGCAAAACGATATTTGTCGTAGAGTTTTCAGCTCCTGGCAAGACGAATATCGTTCGAAAAGAGGCGAAAAAACGGATAAAATATCGAGATTTTTTCTTCGAACTCCGCAGACTCTATCCAGACCACGCTGTCAAGATGGTTGTTCTGATTATTGGAGTCTTTAGTGGAATGATGCCCTATCTTCTCACGAATCTCACAATCATACCGACTTGCTGCACTGAGGCAGAAATCTTAGCCGGACAGATGCAAAAGGCTGCCATTCATGGCTCACTGCGCTTGCTCAGGGCACATGATTCTCGGATCACTTACCCCACGATGTGGGAAGTGTTCTTAGGTTGATAATGCTGTCGCGATCTCCCGAATGTATTACCACCTGAGGCCTTTGGTAAGTTGCGCTACCAAAACTGATGCAAAACCGTATCGCCACCCCAGGCATCCGAAAGAAGAACATTATTCTCCCTCCAATAATTAGGCCGCTGGACCACATGAACTAGGTTGTTTGGATGCACGGGTTCACAGTATTCTTACAGAAGAGGCTGACATCTGGCAAACCAACACCGCCGTGTACCGCGCCGTTCAATTGCTTTCCGAATCGGAAAGACGGAATACTGGCCTTGTAGTACGTTAGATTAAATGGCGGGTATACAAGATGGAGAATAAAGATAACATTGGTGTGACAACACGCGTCTAGTTTTCGAAGTGTTATGGATCACAGGATATCGGTATGATACTCAAGATAGACAATTGTACAACGGTTCAACTCAATAGAGGAAAATACGGGGATTACTCTTCTGGTTTGGAGTAGTGAAAGGAACTCGAGAGAAGCTGTATCAACTCTGCGTAATGACTAGCAAAATGATGCACCTCCATAAGAGTTTGCATTCTAAAT